CAGACTCAATAGCGCTCTGTGAAAGAAAATGACAGAGACAATCACCTCTGCCAAAATGGTGCTTTAGTTGTGATTGAAAGAGCTGGAAGTAATCAAAGTGTGGAAATGTTTCCTTCTCCTCTCCATCTCTCTTCCCGTCTCCACAGCTCCAGCCACAGTGTGATTAATGGCCGCCTTTCATTAGCTTGATCAACCACTTTGGCGGAGATTATTAATCAGGTGCTTATTTAAATGTCACCGCCGAGCAGCGAGAGGAAATGAGGCCGCTGGGAAATTGAGTTTTTGTGTCCTGGAATATTGCCACACACAGATAAGCATTCATTCATACGCTGTTTAACATACATTACAGTCAGCAGCTCACACTGAGGGGACGAAGCAGAGCTCAAATCCAAAGGAGACGTAGTGTGGTTTCTTATTAATAAAACATAGTGTTGTGTCTTTGTGATGAAGAGCAATACTTCAGGGAGGGACATTTGCATCTCCTGACACTTCTGCTAGTCCCCTTTTCATTTGCAGTGCTTTCTAAATAAAGGTCGCAGCCAAACCCAGCGCATACTCATCATTGGTTTAGTCATTTTTTACCAGAACAAATTCCTAATGATTCTTTTTATGTCTGGCTGTCAGAGTGAATTACTGTCGCCGCACTGCGAGCATATTTTTGAAAGCAATGTGATGAGCGTATTTGAGCTGCTGTTTGCAAGCTGCTGCTTTTTTAATTCTGGAGGCATGTTGCAAATAACTTCTGTAAACGATGCTCTCTGGGTTTGGTTTGTTTCACAGGTGCCACACATGTTTTGGATATTCGGATGATGAGTGATTTGCTTTTTGATGAGCTGGAGAGCGCTTTAAAAAAAACAGCAAACTTTGAGAGAAGTTGCATTAGGCGCGTTCCCACCGGAGTACTTTTCCCCTTTAGTTCCGTTAGTACCCCTTATGTCGGGTTCACACCAAAAAGAGTACTTAGTGCCGGGAACTTTTACCCCCATTTTTAGTGCCTGCTAGAGAGGTGGTACTATCCTGGTACCAAAAAAGTACCAATTTCTATTGGCTGGGCGAATTGCAAACCACGCCCCGTAAAACTCTGAAAAGTTTTGTGAAGCCGCCATTGTATTTGCTGGCATTAGCATTATTAGCATTAGCATTAGCCCTGCGCACTAATGGAGAGAAACTAACTTATGGCAACACAAAAAAAAACATGGGAGCGGTGGAGATGAGGAGGTGTCGGCGTTCTGGCAATTTACTCCCGTCGATCTGTCCAGAAGAGACCAATCTCAAAATGAGGATGTCCCACATGAAACTCCCACCCCTGAGACGTCTTGGCAAACGTACGACTTTTTGGAAGTATTGTGTGTTCCACCTGCCACTATTGGCCTTTTCGTACATGTACCCTGGAAATTCCAGGGACTTTTTGTTTAATTTTCCTACCTAAATAAGTTGAAATACGTGAAATTAATTGTAAACATAACGAAGGAGTTCCGACTTCTCAAAAGAACAACAGTGACGGAAAATAAATTTAGTTTCAAAAGTACAGGGATGTGACGTGACCATTGAAACAATAACATAAAATTTGGTCATCATAACGGAAAAATCGAACAAAATGAATATCAGGGCCAACCAAGAATACGCCTCTGAACATAATTACATAATTTACGGTTAGCGCGGTTACCCGTAATATTACAAAACTTATAAACACAGTTGGTCGTGCAAATTTTGAAACACAACTTTATACGGACATATTTGTTGTGTGCACGGAACTCCGAAATTACAGATTATTAGTTATCGGCGAAAGTGTGGTTCATGAAACGGCATGAATCACGGGCCGTGATCATGGGGTCCCGTGATGACATTCGATCGGCAGCGCAAGTGTGTCTTATTCAGGACTCCCTCCTAAGTGCCTTTACTCCGGGCGACTGCAGTGAAGAAAAGAGAAGGACGAAACCCAAATGATCTTCTCTGTTCTCTGTCGTTGGTATAGTGCCGCTAAATCGGTGGTGCTTTCTTAGTGGCGGCCTCAGGGTCCTCAACCCCTTATACTGTAGTCATCTTCGACGACCTCTGGGTCGTCGAAGATGAC